GTGAGCCCCCGAGGTCCCGCCCCTTCCCCACTCCCCCTAGCCACCTCGGCTCATTCCGGGTGGGCCCCCTCCCTGTGACCTCTGAACCTTATGCCAAGTGAGGCCCTAGGCACCCTGGCACCCACGCTCCTCTCCCGGACTTCCAGCAGAAATCCTTTTTAAGCAGGTTTGGGATCGGTTAATTTTGATGGGCTCTCTTTCCTACCATGACTTTAATGGCAGAGGTTACAGAACATGTTCAGAGAAACGCACAGTCCTCCAACTTTGTCTCTTTCTTCTCCAACCCACCTGTCTCTGGCTTGGACTGCTGTCCTCAGTGGAGAGAAGCCGCTTTTTTTCTGCACATGTTTAGGTCATTCATCTTTCTAACAGCTCTGAACCTATCGGGACATTCCTTTTCTCTTCTTAGGCTGGGATTTAGAACAGTAGCTACTGCTTAGGGCTGGCAGAAGGCTTCCTTGGAGAAGGAACAGTTTACTTTAAAAATCTTTGTTCAGTAAAAAACCAGCCTTGAGGGCCGGACGTGGTGATGCACGCCTGTAATCCCAGCACTGGGGAGACTGAGGCAGGAGGATCGCTGTGAGTTCGAGACCAACCTGGGCTACACAGTGAGTTCCAGGGCAGTCTGAACTACATAGTGAGACCCTGTCTCAAAAAACAACAACAACAACAAAAAAAAAGCCTTGAGGAATATGTATACCAGTTTTAAGGAGCTCAGGAAACCACCAGGGCCACTGGAGAGGAGTGAGAGAGGTCAGCAAGGGCCCTCAGGCTTAGGTTGGATTGATATTGAGTGGGGAGAGGATGATGGCAGGTGCTGACAGCCCCGGAACTGAGTGGCATGAGGCACAAGGGGGTAACTGGTGCCTCCCTGTTCCCCAGACCACTTCCACATGCAGTCCGAGTCATTGATCAGCCCCCTGATGCAGACCATCTCTCACCAGCACTGGAAAGTCCGGGTGGCTGTCATCGAAGCCACAGGGACAGTGATCCAATTTGGAAACGGAAAGTCAGTAGACGATGTACTTTCACACTTTGCTCAGCGCCTCTTTGATGACGTCTGTCAGGTAAAAGGATTTCTCTGCTAGAGAGTCTGTTCTGGGCTGGGTATTCAACTCAGTGGTGCCGAATCTGCCTGGATAGTCTGTTCTGTTTCTACCAGAAACATGTGAATGTGCTGGGTTAGCCAACTTGTTTTCTGTTTATTAAGGTGTGAAATGCATCAGTATCTCTTATTACTCAGTTACAAGATGTTCCTATTTCATGTCTTCAGAAAGTAGGGCAACTGGACCAGGCGTGGTGGCTCATGCCTGTAATCCCAGCACTTGGGAGGCTGAGGCAGGAGGATTGCTATGAGTTCAAGACCAGCCTGGACTACATAGTGAGTTCCAGGTCAGTCTCAACTACATAGTGAGACCCTGTCTCAAAAAAACCAAAAAAAAGAGTAGGGCAACTGAATTATTTTAACATATTTATTCCAGACAATGTGGAAACGATTACTTTTAAGGAAGATGTCAAAACTGTATGTGCTTCAGTTTCCAGACACACCTTTCACATGCCTGTCCATCAAGGCAGATTTACCAGAAAGCCACAGTGTTTGGAGCGTAGCCTGGAGGGGCTTGTGAGATAATTCCTACTGTTGGGTTTGGAACCCTGGAGAGACACAGCATGCAGGCAGGAACCAGCAGGTAGAGATTAGAGCACTGGCTTTATTGTGAACAGAATCTAGCTGGCGGGGCAACTTGGACTTGAGGCCCCATGGCTTGCTAAAACCCTACAACAGAGCAAAGGCTCTGTCAGAGAGGGAGGAAGCAGGTGAAGGAATCGGATTCGTGCTTTGGTTAGGTTTGGGTGGGAGGACAGTAGCCAGAGTCCACAGTGGCTAGAAGGCCCCTGAGGGAAGAGCGTAGCCGAGGGGCTTGTGAGATAATTCCTACTGTTGGGTTTGGAACCCTGGAGAGACACAGCATGCAGGCAGGAACCAGCAGGTAGAGATTAGAGCACTGGCTTTATTGTGAACAGAATCTAGCTGGCGGGGCAACTTGGACTTGAGGCCCCATGGCTTGCTAAAACCCTACAACAGAGCAAAGGCTCTGTCAGAGAGGGAGGAAGCAGGTGAAGGAATCGGATTCGTGCTTTGGTTAGGTTTGGGTGGGAGGACAGTAGCCAGAGTCCACAGTGGCTAGAAGGCCCCTGAGGGAGAAGTGGCCTCTCATGACAAAAATCCAGCACTCTCCAGCTTCTCTCTTGCATGCTGTCCATAACCACTTCATTTAATCCACACAAGAGTCCTAAGAACAGATGATGCCCCACACCGAGGTACTGGCTAAGCTGACGTTTTGGATGGTCCCCACGCACCCTTCTGCCCTGACCATAGGCACAGTTATCCCGTTTGTTTTTATTGAGCTATAATTCCCATGCCAAATAATTAACCCATTTAAAATGTTCAATGTTTTTTGTCATATTATGTTATTCTTAAAATTTTCATAAAACAAGTACTATAAAATCTATTACATTAGCAGGGCGTGGTGGTGCACCCCTGTATCCCAGCACTCAGGAGGCTGAGGCAGGAGGATCACTGTGAGTTCGAGACCAGCCTGAGCTACATAGTGAGACCCTGTCTCAAAAAAACAAACAAAAAAAAAACAACACCAAAAAAATTGTTACATTATATTCACAACATTGTGCAACCATCACCACTATAGACTGTAATTCCCCATTCCTAACTCCTCCCTGCATTCCCAGACTCTGATCTTTATGTCTTTCTGAACTTGCTTACTCTGGACTTTTCATACAGGTGGAATCAAGTCTGTCTTCTCTCACTTTACATAATATTACCTATGATTACCCATTCCATAACACGTGTTAGTATTTCATTCCTTTCTATGGCTGAGTAGTATCCCACTATAAGAAGGGACCACACAGGTCTGTCCAGCTGCCTGACCATGGATGCTGGTGTTGAATACACCTTTTGGCTCCTTTGAGTAATGCTGCTATGAACCTTTGTACAAGGATCTGTTTGACTTCCTGCTTCCACTTTTGGATAATAGATAGCTAGGAGTGGAATTGTGGAGTGGTACAGTATCTTTGAAGATCCAAGTGCTTTCCACAGTGGTTGTACTGTTTTAGAATTCCACCAGCTGTCAAAGCAGTTTGCTAGGGCTCCACATCCTCGCTAATGCTTATTTTATTTTATTTATTTATTTTTTTGGTACTGGGGATTGAACTTGGGTCCTTGTGCTTGCAAGGCAGGCCACTGAACCGCTGAGCTAAATCCCTGGCATGCTTATTTTACTTTCATTTTATTTCTTTAGCCATCCTAGCAAGTATGAGATGAATATATCTGTGATGGCTATTCATGTTGAATGTCTTTCTGTGTGCTTATCATTAAAGCTAACATGATTTTGTTTGTTTGTTTGTTTGAGGCAGGGTCTTACTATATAGTTGAGACTGACCTGAAACTCACTGTGTAGCCCAGGCTGGTCTTGAATTCACAATGATCCTCCTGCCTTAGCCTTCCAAGTTCTGGGATTACAGGCGTGCACCACCATGCCCAGCAGCTAACATGATTTTTAACTTACATGACTTACATGATTTTTGGGGTTTTTTTTGTTTGTTTGTTTTTGTTTTTTTTTTTTACTCAGGGTCTCACTATGTAGTTGAGACTGACCTGGAACTCACTGTGTAGCCCAGGCTGGTCTTGAACTCAGAGTGATCCTCCTGCGTCAACCTTCCGAGTGCTGGGATTACAGGTGTGTGCCACCACGCCCGGTTGATTTACATGATTTTTAACCTTTTCCTCCTAGTATTCCTAGGAATTTTCATGTTGTAATGTTCAATTTGAGAGATTCAAGATTCAGTTTTTGCTCTCTTAACCTATGTGCAGTAACAGAGTCAAAGGGCCATGAGCCTGGTTCAAGTTTACGGAAAATAGAAAGGAAAAGACCTATGGAATAAGAACCAAGGATGGACGTGCATCCCTATGAGAGGTGGGTTTTGTGACAGGAAGCGGTGTGGAGGTAGCAAGGGGAAGATTTCACTCGACTGGACTGGAACAGAAGCGTCAAGTCAGTTTCTCACTGTGATGTCCCATACAGGGACCACATATAGGTGGGCTCCAGGTGTGGTGCAGCACCTTAACTCTTCCTCCACAGCTGTGTTTCCTTCCAGGCTGATCCCTTGGGGACTGTACACAAAAGAACCCCCTCCTCCACACACTAATGTTCTTAATCCATTCTGTCCTTGGGGCCAGCTGAGGATGAGTCTCACATGCCAGTCCCTCCGGCCACCAGCTAGACTGGGGTCCACATGCAGGAAGAGGGAAGAGCAGAGTTCTGGGTCAGCACCACCACTAGCCCAAGCCCCCAGCTGCTGAGGGTGGTCCACAATCAGGATCAAGAACCAGCGAGCAATAGCAGCATTGCCATTGCCACAGCCGGTACAGTTAACCATCTTCCTAAGCCTAGGGTGGAACGTGGCTGACAGGGAAAATGATATCTTTGTGTCATAGCTATGTCATTCCTCAAAATAGTGCAAGAACTCTGTGTGGAAAGCTCTCTATAAATTCTGTAACTATTGAGAACTCTCTATAAATAGTATAACTGTGTTAATAGTTACTTGTCAAAAGCATACCTGTGGGTAGCTGTCTATAACTGTGTGTCTGTGTACCTGGGGCCTTGCGCACACGGCTGACTACATCAGCAGCTGTCTGTAGGAAGGTAGCTCGCATGCTGTGCCTCAGCCATGTGGGTGTTAGCACATTACTGACTCTAGTGTCACAGGTTTGCGTGTCCACAGGGACAGAAGATGTCATCATTTAGTTGCTTCCCTTGTGCTTTCAAAAGCATCATGCTCTGTTTTCATGATTCATTCTGTTTTTAATGTTTAGTATCCCGCCAGAGTGCTCCCACTATCAAACTACTTTCATTTTGTTTCTTCTTCTGGCAAGATTTAGTTTGCAAGGCCCAGGTTGACTGTGGCTGACTCCCCTTGTCAACCTGTGTGTGGGTCTTGTTGGTGGGGTTACCCACAGTGCCCTTGCCAGGAAGTGGAATATGAGGTGTGGTGCCGCCTTCCTGCTGCTGTGCCAGCTCTGTGACCCTTTTCCTTGAGCTCGCTTTGGGCAGCTAGCTCTCCCCTAACACATGGGACGACCCAGGCTGCATTGGGATATTCACCCTCTGCCTTTGACTTACATAAAAGATCTGCTAGAAGCTGCTGTGCCCCATTCTGCTGGGCTTAGTTTGAGGCCATGGAGCTACCTGGAGAGGGCTGCAGGGACTCCACTTCCTTCCTGGGAAGAGCAGAACTGTGATCTTGTCTCACCCAGGAAGAAACAGGGCTCGAGCAGCCTGGCTGGTGAAGTGAGAGCAGAGTACGGATGTGGGCATCTGGCTCCCTAAGTTCTTCCCTCTGGAGTTCTGTCCCCTTGGGGAGCCTGGGATAGTGTCTGAGGGGTTGGAAACGGGGTGCCTGTACAGGAGGAACATAGTTCCCACTCCACATAACTGCAGTTCTGGGTCCAGGTCACTGGACGGCTGGGATGTGTGGTTTTTGAATGAGCCACCTGTGCAACCCTTGGGCTGGTGACTCACCAGCTGGGCATACAGGTGTCATTGTCACTAAACAATGTCAGGTGGCCACTTTTGCTTTGCCCTTGTTCTGTCCCCATTCTTAGGAGCTGGCAAGGTAGCCTTCACAGGCCTACTAACTTCACAGGACAGGCTCTTCAGCAGATAGATGCCTCTTCAGATACAGAGGAAGACATTAGGTTACCTTGTCTGACCCATGACTGAAACTCAGTGTATCCTGTTTTGCAGTCTGTGAAAGCTTTAGGGCAGTGATGGTGAGCCTTTTGGAGCTTTCAGTAATAACAAATAGCAGCTGTGTCATATGTGGCTGTGCCACATGTCTGTCCCTGCCTTGCACCTTGTTTCTACTGAGGGAAAAGTAGCAACAGAACAGCAGACATCTTTCCCTTTGATGGGATTTGTCTGTTTGACTTAATAGACTGTGCTCCATGTGACATTCTCCAGCCTAGCAGTCTTGCGGCCCATAGATCTTGAAGCAGAAAACAGTGAGAACCCTGGCACAAATGGCTATCATGAAGATAGGGGCAAAAGTGGCTTTTAACAATGCCAGTGGCTCAGTGAGTGACTCCTGTCAGTCTCGAGAGCCCCAAATAGAGTTTGGGCTTTCTTATATACCTCGTTTTGGGTCCTGGGATGTAGCTAGTGGTGCTGTGCTTGCCTAGCAAGCACAAGGTCCTGAGTTCAATCCCTAGTTAAAAAAAAAAAAAAATACACACACACACACACACACACACACACACACACACACTTTTTACATCTACAGAGTTTAATCCCATTGGAGTTTCCCTGGGAATATAGCAAGCAGGATTTACACAAAGCAGAGTAGTGGAGAGGGGGAGAGGAATGAGTTCTGGCAGGACCTTGTGAGTCTGTTACACTCCTTTGATAACAAATTACAGAAATTGTCATGGCTGCTCAGGTACATTCTACAAAGAGCATAGTTGCCTAGTTAACCCATAGTCTCCTAATAACATAGTTAACTCACAGTTGCCCAATTCTATATGGAGGGGTGGTCTCTCTCAACCTGACTTGTGAGTAAATAATTCTCAGCTCATTTTGCTTTTTAAAAATGTAATATAATATTTTCACTTACTGAGAATGTTAAGTGGCAGCTGGGCATTAGGGGCCACTGCTCTCCTGTGAGCTGAGGACAGGAGTCAGAAGGAAGAAGATGCCCCAAATCCCACCCTTCCCACTGTCTGCATTCATGAGGAGGACTCTGAAGTCTCTTTTCTATAAGAGGCCTCATCTGTTGGGGCCCAGACAAGACCAGGTCCCAAGTCTACGATCCCTACCAGCCCTATGGGATGGGCTGCTCAGGCTTTGCTGCACCCCAGCCCCAGCATGGGGAGTCTGCCTGCCTACACTGGGTGTGACACTGCTCAGGGCTGCAGTCTGGTTTCTTGAAGCCCAACCTTTGACCCATAGGCCTTCTGGTATGGCAGCACATGGCATTGGGGCAACTTCAAGTTTGCCCCTTATCTCAAGAGTTTCGTCATAGTATGACCATCACTTTATGCTTTATAGCTCTGTTAAACTCTGAGGAGTCTTCATTCTTCAGTAGCCTTTGAGACCCACCTCCTATCATTTGTGGAAAAAAATAATTTCCTCTATGGAAATTACAGGGGACTCTGGTCTTGCTATAAGCACCAGGCCCTAGTGTAGTGTTCCTACCTAAGTATGGGCACTACAGCATTTCTTAGGCATCTCAAGCTGCTGGAGCTGAGGGCCTGGCCTGGGACCAGGGTTCAGGGGCCCAGACCTGGAGCCTGTGTGCATTTCAGGGATGATGCCTGCATGGTGGCACTCAGAGCTGCCCTTGGTGTTTCTTTACCTGTTGCGAAGCCTGCTTCTCTCTTGCATGCAGGTACGACATGCGGTGACCTCTGTGGTGGGCGGCTGGCTGCTGGCTCTGCGGGACCGCTACTCATTCTTTCACAAGCTCATCCCTCTGTTGCTGAGCAGCTTCAATGACGAGATGCCTGAAATCAGGTGAGTAGCTTGGCAGCAATGGGACCTTGTTTTCTGGTGCCTGGAGTCCTCCTTATGGCAGTAGAGGACTCCTCTGCTTGCTGCTTCATCAGGACTTGCTTTTCAGGTTGTCATATACCACAACGGCTATTTCTCCTTGCTTCAGAATCTCGTGTCCACATTGTATGTGTGAGATCCTGTTGCATATGGGTAGTCTCTGTGATTTAAAAGATACTATTGAATCTTTAGATATTATTGAATTTTTATTTATTTATTGGGCGGGACATTGCTGGGGATTGAACCCAGGGCCTTTGGACTGAACTATATCCCAACCCCTTTTTATTTTTTATTTTGAGGCAAGGTCTCCCTAAGTGACTAAGTTCCCAGGCTGGGATTGAGCTTGCTGTCCTCCTTCCTTACACAGAGTACTGGGATTACAGATGTGCCCTACCACACCTACCTTGCTACATCTTTTTACTATTTTGATCAGGCCCAGGGATAGAAATCACCCACCCATTTGTACTATCGATACAGGGTCAAAAGCCCATCAGAATGTTGTGGGTGGGAGAGCATGTTGCTCTCACCACTGATTCCTGCTGGACCCCATTACTCAGCATAGCCGTCCATCTCTGCAGGTCTCCTGCACATGCAGGGGCCCTGGGCCTCGCCTCAGCACAGCCTGACTTGTGCTCTGCTTGCTGTGCACAGGCAATTGGCTGCCAACCTCTGGGAGAAGGTGGGACTGCAGTGGCAAGAGGAGAACGAGGCAGACCTGAAGGACAAGCTGGACTTCGCCTTGCCACCCCCACCCCACTACCCCCTACAAGGTGAGCACAGGTAGACAGGATGGGTGGGTGTGAGTGGGGAGAGAATGCCTGGGCCAGGTTGGTGCTCAGCCAGGAGGCCCCAGAAGGTGTTGGTGGTGGGGGTCCTCCGGTTGGGCTGTATCTCCCGTGACAGCCTGTGCTGAAGTTGTCTGCATGTCCCAGGCAGGCAATGGCTTCTGTCCCCTGCATCGCCTGGAACCCTTCCTGTGCTCCATGCTGGCTCTCTCTCTTCTGGACCAGCTTTATTCTAAAGATGCTCATGGCCTTCTGAAGCATCCTGATGCTCCACTAGGAGGTGTCCACTATTCCTTCTGGCACTGTATAGAGGGTTACATCAAACTGGGTCCCCAGCAGCTCTTCGAGAGTAGTAGGGAGGCTGTGACCTTTTACCAAGAAAAAGCTAGATCGGTAGGTCACAGGTGAGATGAAGTCTGCCCTTCCACGAATTTTCCAACACTTAGCACATTTTCCCCCTGTTGGACCTGCTCTGTCCTTATCTAGTCCCGATCTGTGTACACGTTCGTGCCTATGTAGTGTGCTTGGTGGGTCTGCGCTGAGCCTGTAAAGAAGGCTTACTACCCCTGCCTGCCCTACCCCCGTACTTCTCTGCCTAGCAGCCACCACCCCGACAGCTTCATCTGCCTTGGAAACCCCTTCCCTCAGGCAGATCTCTGAAAGTTGAGTAAAGCTACACTGACACTGAGAAGGATGAAAAGCAGGTCACAATGCAACCAATGTCCAGCAGACCCAGGGCGAGGCTGTATCGCCCGCCCTGTGAGTGTGGGAGCAGGAGAGGTGCTGCAGGCTGTGGACATGGCGCTAACACATGGAGGTGATGCTGAGGAAGTGCTCTATCACTGAGGTACATCCCCAGCACTTTTTATTTTGAGACAGGATCTTACTAAGTTACCCACTGTGGTCTCTAACTTGGGATCATCCTGCCTCAGCCTCCCAAGTCGCTGAGAGTACAGGAGTATGCCGTGGTAGGCTCCTGGCTTTCCTCTGGGGTGTTTATGAAAGAGCTCAGCTGGGTTCTCATCATCAGTTGGGTGATGGTCTGTATCCACCTAACTAATTGTATGCAGAAGCCAAAATGTATAAAGCTGTCCTCCACCTGCTCACTAGGGTTCACGCCACACATCCACAGAAAGTCCAGCACTTGTCTGATGAAAGGCTGGCCTTGTGACACAGGGACATTTCCGTCCTTGACAGTATTGTTAACAGATCCCTCTGAAGAGAGGGAGGAAGGCACTGGGGATGCTGACTGCTCTGGGGAGAGTCCACTCTTGGAATGTGATGAACAGTGAAACAGAGGAAGGTGCATGTGCACACGCACTTACACACCATGTATGTACCTAGGTGCAAGCGTACTTTTGCTCACTGGCAGATCCTCTCCTGTGCAGGTCCCTGAGGGAAAGCTGCAACCGTGCTCCTCTGGCACTTCCTGCCTAGGAGTAGGTTGGGACTTGCCATGTTTCTGACTGGTCTGGTTGGTCATACATTCTGAGGCTTGCAGAGTAGTACTCAGAACTTTTGTTTTACAACAGCATAAATTTAGAAATGAATTACACTAAAGTAAAGTGACACAAACCCTGGATTTCACTCAGTTTTCCTTAACGTTACTTATCCCCAGTGCATAGTTTGAATTTTAAATAAAACTTTTTAGATTTTTTTTTTTTCAGCATTTCTAGTATCAGGACAGGTCAGTCTCCTGCTCAGACCCTGAGGACACCCGCCCTTCCCAACCCAAGTGCCACACCTGGGTGCCTCCAGCTCCTGTGGGGTGCTTTCCCCAGATGGCCATGCTGTAGCTACCTTTCAGTTGTGAGTTTGTGTCCACAAAATGTACCCTCTAGAGCTATGAGCCTGTGAGCTGTGGCCACCATCATCTCTGTAACTGAGAGGGACTCCATCACCCAAAGTGTCCCAGGCACCTGGCAACGGCCACCTGGTGTTCTGTCCCATGGGGATGAAATCCTGTGCTCTCAGCTGGGAGCTTTCTGCCCACTCTGCTCAGTGCAGCACTTCTGTGTGAGCAGTTGTGTACTGTGGACCACAGCTGGGTGATTTCTGCTCCTGGATAATCACAAATACATCCCAGAAAGACAGTCCACTGTCTGAGACATTTTGAGTTCTTGCCAGCTCAGATGGGTGTCCAGCTGCTCAGTGCTCAGCAGTGCTTGGTGTCCTGGGTACTCAGCATCCTGTTCTTTTATGGCTTCTCTGTGTATTTTCTTTGGTTGATCATTCAGATCGCTTGCTCATTAATTGAACTTGGGTTCTCATTTTCTTATTATAGCATTTTCATGTATTCTGGATATGATCCTTTGTCATATCTGTGTTCTGCAGTTATTTCTGAGAGGGCTGCCCTTGCACTTCCCCATTTCCACCTGAGCAAGGGGCGCTAGCTCCCAGCTCTCTCCACAGGGGCCTGTTTCCAGCAGGCACCTCCCACTACTGAGGCTGATTTCCAGCCTGGGGTCGTGCACAGCACCAGTGACTCAGGTGGGCACTGGAGTGCTGTGTCCTCTTCCTGTTGAGAGGACAGTTGATGGGTGGAATTGAGTCTGAGAGTGCACAGACCACAGTTAATTATGAATCAGATCACAGCTGGGACACATTACACTGGGTGACTGTGAAGACCACACTAGAGGCAGGGTCAGGGTCAGGGATTTGACCCCTTTTCCTAAGAAATAATGCAGAAATATGGCTTGTGCCACACTCTTTGCTGGCATCTTTGGAAACACACATCAGCTTCCTGTTAAATAAAAAGATAAATCTCCACTGTGGAACATATCATAGTGTGGGGCAAAAAGGGGCACCACCTGTCTTCACATCACCGTTGAGAGCCAACTGCTCTCATCTGCAGAAGCACAAGTCCATGCTTGATGTGCCTCTGAAGACCACACTGCACATCACCACAGCAGGTTCCGGAGTCCTTTTTTCTTTGAAACAATCTTTCTGTCTGAATTGTTTTCCTGCCATGCTTGAGCGCTGAGGGAAGCATGTCTTCAGAGTGGTGAATGGCTGCCAGACCTTTTAACACAGGATAGTGATCCTTTCTCAAAACCCTGTTTGAGAAATCAGTAGAGCCCGCCTGAATCAGGATCACTATGATGTAGAATACTTTCTATACAATGCCCTTTTGTGTTTTTGTACCTGCTCTGCTTTGCTTGTGTTTCATGTGCATGTTTGGAGAGATGGGCCTTGAATAGAAGTTGTCAGGAATGTCACACATGCAGAAAAGAAAAGGAGAAACAGGCTGGAAAACTGGTTTGCATGGTGTGGGGCAGCGGGTCCCCTTCACGGAGCAGCTTTGGCCAGGGAAGAAGACATTTCCTAGCCTGGACAGGAGGCTCCTTCTAGAGGGCAACTAGAGGACGCGTCGGCACTCTCCCAGTTCAGACAAGGACTAAAGGGGTTAAATGGCTTGTGGGTCCATGTCCCCAAGCACAGAGGCGGTGTGCCTAACTCTCCACCCCGCATTCTTGGACCTGCTTCCTTTTTTTTGCTATGGGGTTTTGCTGTGACCCGGGTCAGCTTGGAACTTGCCATCTCCTTCCTCATGAGGATCCTCCTACTTTCCGAGTAGCTGGGATCACAAGCATGTTCCACTATGCCCTGTTGATACCTCTGCTTTCGCAAATAGTCAACACCTTGTTACAGAGACCCAGTGAACTTCCTGTGCATCTTATGATGGCTTTTAAATACCTATGGTAGAGTGGGGGCGGGGTGGCTGTCATCAGTTGCCCATGAACCAGTTAGGAAATTGGTGAACTCCTTTCAATTAAATTTCACTTAGTGTACTCATGCAAAAAATAAGATGCTTTGATATTCCATGTGCTTCTGGCCCAGCTTCTTCTAGAGTTCCCACTGACTGACCTCCTCTATCTGAGAAGTGGGGAGAATTGTTTTAAAATCAACCAGGACATGAGAGCCTAGCTCTGTTTTTCTTTTTCTTTTTTGGTACCGGGATTCAAACTTGGGTCCTTGCACTTGACTGAGCTAAATCCCCAGCCCTTGGTCCTGTTTCTCAAAGCTAGATCTTCTCCAGAGCTCACAGAGGCCACCTGTCACCTGTACCACATGGTCTTGGGTGGCAGGACCCTGGCTCTTGTTTATTTATGATCAGGATGATGCAGAGCACACTTGAGGTGTGTGGTGCCACTTTGCTTGGTACCCGCTGAGGTCTGGTGAAGGTGCGCTCAGCTTGTCAGGAAGGTGACGAGGATTAGAAGGGACCAGGTGGCAGCAGTGCATGTGCAGCCATGTGTCACCTGCACTAAGATGGACTGGACTTTGTGCCTGCGCTGCTCAGAGCTTCTCAGGGGCAAGAGAAAGCTCAAGAAGGCAGGGGCTGTGCCCAGGGCTTCAGTTCCCACCCACATTCTCACATCTCCCTCATTGTGCTTTCTTTATGATAAATGCATATAAGGTAGGCACTGTGATCGAAAAATGTGGTGAATGTTCACTTTTTTAAAAAAAAATTTTGTTACAGTAAAAGACCCTTTGCTATGAATCCCCTTCAAAATACTTCACTTTAAACACTTACCAAACACCATCATTCTGAAGCAGTTTTGGAAGTCCTGTCTGGTGTCTTTAACTGCACTGCCATGGTGGCCTCAGTGTCCTGAATCAATTCAAAATGTTGGTTTTTCGTGGTCATTTTGACTTTGGGGAAAAACCAGAGTTGCCTAGGGCCAAATCCAGTGAATAAGATGGATAAGGATACACTGTCATGTTTTTATGAGCCTGCTTTTCCATTGAATGTTTCTTGGATTGTCATAAAGATGGGAAAACTTCCCGGTCCGGTGATTTAGCTCAGTGGTTCTGCTGCCTTCCTTGTAAGCACAATGTCCTGAGTTCGATACCTAGGACCAAGAAAAAGAAAAAGACTTCCAGATCTGCTTCTGAAAGTGGCAAGAATGGTAGAATGAACATGTTCAAAGCAAGAGAGGTATTTTGAGGGGGATTAATGACAATGTATCTTTCACTATAAG